CAATCATATTAGGACCAAATGAAGCAAAGATCCTCATTTCTCATCACCAGCCTGGAGAACTATTAATATTTGACTTTCTAAAGTCAAATTCGCTAAATACTTTGAATAAAATTAGATTAAATTAAAAATAAAAGTTAAAGAATCCTCCAAGTTCTCTTGACAGAAATTGAGCAATACCTAATTCATCCACCTTCAACATCTCATTTAAATATCATAGTTGTGAAAGTGTATTTTTTTTTAAGACTCAAAATTTCAAAAGCACCAGAAACTGAATTTGTAAAAGGCACCCATTTTCACAAAGTCTGTTGGTAATGGTATTGGTAAAGTCCTGGAGGAACATCCCTGTGGGGGAAATGCAAGAGAAGAAAGTACAGGAGGAAATCTACATTTTGGACACAGATTCCCCTTACTCATCAGAAAGAAGGAAGCTTCCAAGGTAAGCTGTGGGAGCTGCTTTCTCAGGGAATCACAGCTCTTTCAATATTCCCATCCCCATCATCCTGTTCTTTAATAACTTTTTTGGCACCAATTCTGGAAATAATTTCCTGTTGAAAGGCACTTGAGCTAAAAGCCACTTAATGTGGGAATCCGGCTGACCCAAGGAGATCCTTGTAAATGGAGCACTTGAGAAATTACAGGTTGGTTTGCTTTGGGGCTTTGGGGTGTTTTATTTTCATTTTTAATTCACTTTTTCTAATTAGGAAAGAATCACAAAAACCTTAAGAGTATTCAAAAATAGAATTTATTTCTCACCAAAATAAGTCCAAGAAATAAAAGGAGGAACTCCTTATTCTGCCTAAAATATCTAAATTGAATACCTGTAAAACAGCAGAAATCTAGCTGAGGCCCTATGGATTGAAAGAAAAGGAGAGTTTTTTCCCCATGAGGCCCTTCCAGATGGCCTTGAGGACGGCTGTAACCTCCCTCACACCTGCCCCACTCCTTCTACTCCTCTGTGTTTTGCTTTTTCTGGAACACTTATCATCATCAAGCATACTGTGCCTTTCACTGATGTGTATCTTAGCCTCTGTACCCTATTCCTGAAACTAGAATATAACCTCCATAAGGGTAGAGATTTGTCCTTTCTATGTTTCCTTCAATACAGCCCAATGGCTAGTAGACAATAACCATTTGGTGAATGAATGTGTGATCTTTAACAGGCACCATGAGGATGATGGAAAACATCAAGGACAAACTATTACACATACTCAGTTTACAGAGCTCAGACCTGAAAAGAACTTTCCTTATGTAAAAATAAACAGAAAATAACATGAGACCTATAAAGATAGTCTATAATCTAAAGTATCCACCATGTGATGGTCATGTTCAAATTTTATTATGTTTTTAATAGCCATGTTATTCAAATGGTTCAAAATCAAGACCACAGAAAGAGGTATCAAGGGAAATCCTGGTCCCACCACTGTCCCTATCCTTACCCTCCCATCTTCCCAATGAACCACTGTCTGTAACCACTCTCCTCCTCCCTGTTTCTGTGCTTTCTTCAAGTGTTTCTTTATGCCAGTACAAGCAAACAGCAATTTAATTTCTTATTTTTCCTTCCTTTATTTCAGAACATTTTTAAATTTATACATATATATTATATATATATATTTATTTATATATATATATATTTTTTGAGACAGGGTCTTGTTCTGTCACCCAGGCTGGAGTACAGTGACATCATCATAGCTCACTGAAACCTCAAACTTCTGGGCTCAAGGGATCCTCCTGCCTCAGCCTCCTGAGTAGCTGGGACTACAGGCATGCACCACCACACCCAGCTAATTTTTTTGTATTTTTTATGGAGATGGGGTCTTGCTATTGCCCATGCTGGTCTTGAACTCCTGGATTCAAGCGATCTTCTTTCTTTGGAAAGAATTTTGTTATGTGTATTTGACCACAATTAAAAATTTCTCTTAAATTTAAAATACATATATTTCATAGGGCTTCTTTCCTTATGCTAGTTTCTCTGACACTCTCCCTACTGATATTATAAAGGAAAACATCTTCGGTTCAAATGCATTAACTTCTTTTCTAAAAGGAGTGCTCTCTGAGATTTGCCAATTTAGAGTCTATCTGTGGACTTACCATTCATTCTTTCTTTGCTTTTCCATGCAATATCAAAATGGGGAAAATACGCAGGTTTTAAAATATGGATTGGTCAAATAGAGTTTCATATGTGCACTGGAATATTATGCTACCATTAAAAACCACATCATAGAACAATGTTCATTGACTTGAAAAATTGATCTCAATAATGCTAAATGAAAAAATAAAATTATATCACAGCATATATGATATGAGCCGAAATTTATTTTTTACAGATATGTTTAATTGAAAGGTTAGAAATATATTTATAAAATTGCAGTGAGCTATGATGATGCCACCGCACTTTAGTCTGGGCAACAGAGGGAGACTCCATCTCAAAAAAAAAGAAATATATTCATAAAATATTAACAGTGGTTATATATGTTTACCTTTTTGTAATTCTGCTGAGTACGTTTTTAGAATGATGTCAGCCATATAGAAACACAATAGTAAGAAACAGAACAGAAACCCACAATGCTTTTGTAATTAAGAAAAAATTATTGAATTGATACAAAAGAAAACTGATTTCCAATTTCTCCCTTTTTCATCATTCATTTTTATCCTCCACCCTTTTTATTCCCTTTCCCACTCAACCACTCTTCCCTACTATAAAGATGTCAGTGGAATTCTACGTTTTAAAATGAAGGGCTCATGGGAAGAGAGGACATCTTTAGACTATTTCTGCATGCCAGTATTCCTATTAACTTATATTTATAAATTATCCATAGCATTGAAATTCATGAAACATAAATTCCTGCCTTTTAAGGCATGATTTTTTAAATAAAATTAATTTTCTTTATTTTAGAATATTTCACATTTATCATGAATCAGGCAGTTTTTTCTCTAATTCTGGGTATGTAAACCTAACTGCACATCAGAATCACTTGAGGAGCTTGTAAAAATTTCTCGTTCCAGCACCCCCTCCCCAGAAAATCTAAGTCAGCAGTTCTGGGGCCCATTTAGAAATCTGAATGGCCCAGAAGTTATCAGATAATTCTGATAATCAGGCAGGTCAGGAAAACTCAGCTTTGGGTGCTTAATAATTCCATTCTTCTATGTGTTCCACCTTTCACCCATGAATAATAATATCACTAGTATCTCTAAGCAAATTGCAAGTGATGTGAATGTCTCGGAAAACTCACATAATGGAAACCAAGTTGGTATTAAGGAAAGCTACCAAGTTATCTGCTTACTATTGTGTTTCTATATGGCTGACATCATTCTAAAAACGTACTCAGCAGAATTAAAAAGATCTTCTAACTCCACATTTGTGAATGTTTTCTAAAGAAGAATCTTTCTTTCTTGTTGTACAGAGCAGAATTAAATGGTGACAAAAATCTTTCTTTGACCATTAGTGGAGAAACTAACCAAGAGCTGACATCTGTACTATAATAAAAGAGAATTGATTCCTTTTTGGAATCTCTTATATTGTAGGAAAATTACATTCAACATTTAGTGTGAAACAAAGTTCTAAAAGAAATAATCACTGAATCTAAAGCAAAAAGAGATCAAATAATCACTTTCATTGAGTTCATAAAATAATGTAGGATAACATTGCAAGAAGCATATGTGTATCTGGGAGAAATGTTTGCATGTAGAAATTTTCCATAGAAAATCAAAATTTCTTTCCTTGTATGGAGCCATAATTTCTAATAGAATCAAAATTCTAATTGAAAATATGCTGTGTAATATTGTGCATTGGTGGTTTTTTTAGTAAGGAAACAATCATGAGAATGTTTTTTTTTAATGGATTATCAAAAGAAATGGTAGCAATGAAGCCATACCTCGTTGATACTGAGTTGATTTAAGGAGGTCTGATGCAGCAAGGTCTGGAAACAGACCTTACCAGCTGTCCTAACACTAGACTATTTGCGTTCTAGAATCCTTAAAACTTTGCAAAGTCTGGGATTATTAGAAGGTTTGCAGTATATGTAGAGAGATGAGATTAATGTTTAACAGAAAGCTGAGGAGGTAGAAAAGATTTCAGCCAAGCATGGTATCACTGTTACGCTTTCAAGAGCACTGTTCTCCAGAGAGAAGCAGGGAGCTGAGAGGTGAATTTATTGGTGGTGGGTGTCATTCATTTGGAAATACAGCAAATAGGAAAGTGACTTTTTCTTTATTTACCTTTATTCTTTATCAATTTCTTTATTGTACCATATAGAAAAAGCTGTTAACAGATCAGAAAAAGGATTCTGCTTGGAGTTCTTAAAAAAAAAAAAAAAAAAACGATTAGATTAAAGTGCTCTGAGAGCTTGGCTCAGGTCTCCTATAAACTTTCTATTTGAACTTAAGAAAATCACTTACAGGCCCTGGGCATTAATTTAGTAATCAAGTGTAGAGGCAGTATCGTGTTTCAAAGCTTGGATTTTGGAGCAAGCTGCCAGCTTTGAATCTCAGCTATGCCACTTACAAGATGTATAATTTGCAAAAATTACTTAATGTTTCTGTGCCTTGGTTTCCTCCTGTGAAAAATGGGAATAGTAACAACACTTACCTCATAGGGCTATTGAGAGAGTTAAATGATTTATTATATGTTAGGGACTTAAAAGATGCCTGAAAAAATAGTTATTGTTTTAGCAATTATATGATGAGACTTCAGAACTCAGTGGTTTTCAAATTACTTTAAACTATGGGACCTTGGTTCAAATGAAATGCCATACAGATGTCTAAATAATAAAGCATATGGAGTTAGAGATGTTTTCATTGGAAAGGCAGCAGAAGATTTGGGAGCCATGCCCTTCCCAGGTGACCCCTTGGACAACATCAAGAAACCACAAGATGAGGGAACATAGTTCAAAACATAATGAGCCCTTCCAAAGCTGTCATAGCCTCTTTATCAGCTGGGAATTTTGGCTACTAATAGAAGTCTGAGAACAGCAGTTTAAACACATTAGGATTTATCTTCCCACCTAGAAGTTGAGCAGCGGGCAGCTAGAGCCTGTGTGGCAGCTTTCCAAAGCCACCAGGAAACTGTGCTCTGTCCTTCTGGCGCTCCAGCCATGACAGTCAGGATCCAGACAGAAACATGCAGGAAGAAGAAAAGGGGGAAAGTAGCTTCTTAACAAGCTTCACCCAAGATTTTCTGTTAAGAGCTCAGTCCCCCGCACCCCTGCTCCCTAGATACAGGGAAGGCTGAGAAATGTGATCTTCCAGTTGGATGCATTTCTACCTGGAATTAAGGAAGGTTTCTGCTACTATTGGAAGAGAAAATGGATTATGCTAGGCAATCACCTTCTATATATTAATTTTAAAATACATTTGTGTCTTATGAGTAAAAGAGATATTAAGGCTGCCTCTTGGATCAAAGAAACTGGGGAAAGAATAGTACATCAATAAAAACTTGACTCTTAATTGGCTTTCGATCACCTTTAATTCTCATACGGCTTCTGAAAAAGTTATTAACTCCTCTGGTAATTAAAATAATTCTCATTGAAAGTTTGACAAATTGGTTTTAAAGCATTTTTTTCTTGGCCAGGAGAGTATAAGGTCAAATAGATATCCATTAACACAGTGAAGGTTAATGTGAAATTCTAAAATAGATATTCATACTGGAGATATAGCGCAATATCCAGCATATATTTGGCTTACCATAGATGATAAGTTTCTATTTTCCATTTTATTACCTTAGCCTCAATTTCTTCACCTCCAGTATGAAAAATTTAAGCCAAATGATACCTAAGTTTTCATAAAATTCAGACATCCTGTGAGGCAGTAAAAAATTCTAGAAATTCAAAACATTTCAGATACATTCAAAAAGAGACATTAAATATGTGACTCCAGGGATCTAAGCTCTTATATAAAAAGTAGACTAGTGGTATTACCAGGCCATGAAAAAAGATAATTAGTCCCCAAAGTTGAAACTCTTTGGAGAGTATATTTTGCCCCACTGCCAGGCTAAATTTGTAGAATTAGAAAGAAGAGGAAAAACCACCCTCACACCACAATTCATTCCACCTAGCTCAGTTAATGAGAAATTATCAGCTCTGTCATTTGTCATATTCTTAAAGCCCCTACTGTTCACGGGACCACTAAAATTTGCAGGACTTTATGACAAAAAGTTGAAGCATCTGCAAATGGCAGACTGTCTTGAAGCACAGCAGGCAAGGAAGCATTAGGTCAACAATATTTGCTTAGCTTCTCCTGTACACCAAGTCCCAAACAAGGAACTGGGGATTCTATGTCGAGTAAGACCCAAAGTTGATGACAAGGTCTGGCCACCAAGTGTTCTGCCCAGGACCATGGTATGCTTTATGCAAATCATGTTACTTTATCATTCAGAACATCGGCTACCAAATAGTTCTTCCTGTTCCATAGGTCTTCTGTTCTACTTAAAGCTGACTCGGTTTCTTTAGACTAAAGTGGCCTCCGCTCCTGGGCACAGCAGATCCCTGGAGAGTTTTCACAAGTTTCATTTATCATTATTGCAGGTGCTTGGAAACAAAGGATATTGTTGAATAAAGAGATTTCCCTTTAGTGCACATATGAAAATCAGCCTCTGGAATTTGTAGCAATGTCAAAATTGGGAGGGGAGAAGTCTGCCTAAATCTTGGAGAAAACCCACTAACAAAGTAAATTCCAGTTAAAAAATCAAAATGAGAATTGAGATGTTTACCAAGTCCAGTTCTCTAAGAAAAGAGATGGGAAAATTATTGTTTGTGTGTTAGGCTGAACTTACCTTTTCTCATCATCTACTTTCTGTAGCGTCCTCTCTCTTCTTCATTTTCTCCATTTTGCCTTGAATTTCTAGTTTTGAGTCTCTATGTAGTAAAAATCAGCTGGAGGTGCCAGACTGAGCATGATCTGTCATGTCAACTTCCACACTAAATCTGAGCTTCCCCTCCCTACTCACAGTGCCTTTGGGAGGCCTGAGAGATGCCTGTATCGTATTTGATACAGACATCTGATATTTGATACAGACATTTGATACAGATACAAAGTATTTGACTTTTTCCAAGTATTTAATACTTTAAAATCAATTATTGAATCTCTGAACAAGTAGGTTATAGGGTTATAGGGAATCAAGCTAGAAGATGGAGGGATGGTCCCTATCCCAGAATAAACAGATAATCACCAGTAAAATTTCTTGCTATTGTCTACTATCAGACGCTGGACCAATCTAAAGCCCTCTGAGTGCTGCTTAACTACCAACACTAATGAACTCAGATGTTAGCATTGCAGTTTCTAACCATACACAAGATTGAGGAGGCTGACACTATGGCAGAAATATATTAATCTGTGTTTTTATCCAGAAACAGAATGTCTAAGAGCTCAGAACTAGTTTTAATTAAAATTTTATTTTAAAATTATATTCTCCTCTAGAGTTAGAAGAAAAAAATATAAATTCTAGGAGGATGAGAACTGCCAAATAAATGTCCTAAAAGGAAGCATTTATTGATTCAATGATGAATGGCAGAATTAAAACTCTCCATGTAGGAAATTAGTTGAAGATATGATACCATCAAATGCAAATTGCAATACTATTGAAAAAGATTGAAGTAAATTTTAAAAGTAGATAGATGGTAAGGTGACTGAAAAAAGGAATGTGAAGAGTCTAGTAACCAACTAAGTACCATATTTTGAAGAATAAAATTCGTGTGTTCTATGAAATCAGGTATGTAGAGCAAATCGTATTACATGGATGCATGGCAATGCATGGCATAAATATGTATTTCAGAATAAAGCTTATAATTTGTTTTTTAAAAGCTCTGGATTATGGTTCCATTGACTTACTATTATATGTGGGTTTTTACTCTTCCTGAGACTATGATTAAATATAATGTGACAATGCAGAACTAATAAAATAGGAATCAATAGAAAAGGCTAGATTCAGTGAAGAAAAGGAAAACTGCTATAAAAAAGTAACAGAAAAAAATTATAGTTATTGTTTAGATTAATGACCATACCCCAACATTTTTCTAATTCTAAAGCATAGGTCCATGTAAATAGCAAAACAGAAATGTTTAGAAAGAGAAAAATTCACTTATGACAATATCGTAAGACTGCAATGTTTTCAACAAGGTCAATCAAATATTTCAGAAGTAGCACTAGCAAATCACACTGGAGACATGACTTGGATTCAAAGCACAGGAAGATCCTGCTGCACTCTCCTCTCCAGAAATTGCCAAAACAAAGAACTTTGATGGGAGAGTGTGACTCCTCACCTCTAAATTGAAGCCCAGTGCAATTGTCCGTCACCCAGGTTGTTTTCAATATGATAAGTTATGCCTCGTTAGCAAGGTTATTCTCTTTAGAATTGCTTGTGAGCATGCAACATTTATGGAAAAGATCCATCTTTCTTTATACATCTGCTAGGGTAATCTGGAAAGAGCACTGATCTTGGAATCAGTCAACCTGGTTTGAATTCAGCTGGGCCTCTACTTACTATGCAACCTTAGGGAAGGTGCTTACACAGCCTGGCTCAACACTGTGCCAACTTTGAACTGAAGGTATTAACAGTAATAATAACAACCATTGTCAAGAGTTGTTGGTCCTATGAAGAGTGTATGAGTGCTTTGTAAACAGGCCCATGAAAATGCTTTTTACATCGGAACTTAAAATTCACACATTTCATTTGTTGAAGAAGGAAGAGGAGGAGAAGGAAAAGAAGGAGATTCTTACTGAAATAAGTATGCTAATTAATGTGTTTGTCTTCTAAAATAAGAAATCTATGGACATTATGTTTTTGAAATAGAAAAATAGATCTCTTCTACTTGCATCATAGAATTACTTTACTTCTAGGAATGTCTCTAGTATGAAGACTGCTGTGCTAGCCAGGCATGGCAGCTCACACCTGTAATTCCACCACTTTGGAGACCAAGGCGGGAGATTCACTTGAGGCCAGGAGTTCAAGACAAGCCTGAGAAACATAGACAGATCTTGTCTCTGTGAAAAATATAAAAATTAGCCAGGCCTGGTGGTGTCTGCCTGTGGTCCCTGCTACTTGGGAGGCTGAGGCAGGAGGATCACTTGAGCTCAGGAATGTGAGGTTGCTGTGAGTGATGATGACATCACTGCACTAGAGTTAACACACTAACCCAGGCAACAGAGCAAGACTCTGTCTCCAAAAACAAAAAGACTGCTGGGCTAAAAGGAGTTTGAAAAATTTGAAAAAGTGCAATTTTAGGTGGATCTAATGCACTTAACTACATGTTCAGCATTTTGAACATCTTGTTATTATAGTTTCTAACTTGAAGAGTAGATGTGAAATGGTTATTTGTAGCACAAACCATTTCTATAATTCTAGTAGATTAATAATATAATCTTTATATTTGGAAATGATTATCACACAAAGAATTTAGAATGCTGCAAAGACAACATGTCATCAAAAACATACTCGCCATTTCCTTAGAGTATCCAAAATATCTCTTTTCTCCTAGTGAGAAAAAACAATGCAAGTTTAGAATTACTGAGATCACGTAGAATGATAGTACCAAAGATAATAAAAACCAGAGTTTTCATTTTCCTTTATATATAAGAAAAAGGCATATCTTTTTCTAATGTAATAAATGTGAACTAGAGAAATTCATCAAAGGGCCTGAAAAGTGTTAGAACTGCAACAGAAAAGAACACTAAAGGTAATATCCAAGGAGGCTTGGTTTCCATCAAAATTTAACTCTCTTCTCTGGGCATTCTGTAAATTTTTAAATTCATAACCAGAATAATTCAGCTGTGTTTTTGAATAAATGAGATGACCTGCAGGCTGAGAGCTAGATAGCTAGATAGTTTATTATTATTTTATATTAATAACTTAGATAAATTAGACTTAAAAATTATTCTACCAATTTTACTGGTTGTGATATAAGTTTAATAAAATTGCATAGCTTCTGCCATGAATGTTCTTTTTTAATTTGTGTAAAATATGTTGTAGCATATACAGGTTGTTGTTACATGTCCTAGACATTGAATTGTGAGAATAAAGCAGAGGGACAGACAAACCTTTCTTTGACAAAGGCAATGGTAATAGGCCCCTTCACAGCCAGGAAACAAGGGTGAGAGAAATTCTTTAAAACAGCAGTACAAAGTGCAATCTGACCATAAAAGCATTTTGAAACTGATGAAAGAAGAAAAGTTCTGGCCTCAAATGAAAAGAAGGAATAATTCCTCAAGCAAGGATCTTAACTGGTGAAGTTCAGGAGCCTGAGGCAATTTAGGTACATCACTGACTGGCCACAGTGCTGTGCCTTGTGGTGCGAATCTTCACCAGTGCTAAGCATTAAATAAGGGGGAAATAACTAAATTTTATCAATTTGTAGTGATGCTTCTATGAAATCTTCA